GTGGTGAGGGTGCTTGCCTCTCACCAGTGTAGCCCAAGTTTGATTACGGCCCATGGTTTGAGTTTGCTGTTGGTTCTCGTTTTGCTCCAAGAGTTTTTCTTCGGGTTCTCCAGTCTCCCTCTTTCCACAAAAACCAAGATCTACAAATTTCAATTCAACTAGGATAGAGGAGCTGCATAAAACCCAGCTACTTCCTCTCTAAATATTGTAATTTAAATATTTATTTAGTCAAATTAGATAGAAGTTCATGTTAAAGATTTCTTTGCAAAGTAGATGCAGCTGGATCTGGGTACATATATGTTTCTCTTTATCATAAACTGACAAACCATGTCTGGACAATTATTGTTTTTCAGCTACAAATGTTTTTGCAAGAAATCTAAGGTATCAATCAGTTTATAACGTTAGCAAGAAACAAAAGCATTGTGTTATGATTGTAAAGAAAACCCAAAGAATGATGCTTGGTACGGTGTTTCAACAACAACACCAACAACAACAACCATCAAGTTTCAATGTCCTACTGGAAATAAAATGATTGAATTAGCTAAGGATATTACACTTGACTTTCCTGTGAGTCTCTGACTAGTTTGACATGTTTTCACTGATCTGCCCAACAAGTACAATACCGATTTCTGCTTTTTAGTGGCTGACATTGCATATTAATTTGATTTTGATATTAATTTATTAATAAGCATTATACCTCAAAGAGTTAATTTTACATTAAGCTTAAATATTTTGATATAAGCTCAGATCTTACAATACTGTGATTTAACATAAACTTCATAGGAAGGATTAAATTGATTTACACCATCAGTTCTGACGCGTTAACTTTAAATCACAGCATTTCAAAGAGCAAACAATATTTTCTTTCATAGCTTCTCTTTGTCAAAGTTTGTAATGACTGAGAAGCAGGCTTCAGTTGCTTGACAACTTACAATGTAATTAATTCTAAAACAAACGCCTTTGAACCGTGTACAAAGACTTCTCACCGAGATAAAAAAAAAAAGACCTTCAGCCACAACAGCCCGTAACAGCAGACACAGCGCAACATATATTTGACTGAGATCTTCAAAAGGAAGTGCATTTTCACTTTAAGAAGCAGGAAGCAGACGGAATTATACTTTCTAAATACACAAGCATCTCGTGGCATGTGGTCGATACGCGCACCCAAGCATTATGCCAACGAACCTACAGGTTGGCAATATTAGGAATGATAGAGATAATCTAGCAAGAAGATAGGACGAAAGATGACAGGTCTTTCCAAGGAGTACGAAAACTAGACCTCGAATCACTGGAAGCCTTCTGATTTGCCTACAACTTCATCCCGGGGTGTGCGCGAATATATAGGTACCAAGCTTCCCGTTCGCTCAAGCGAAAAAGCGCACATAGCAAACATATGTAGGAGAAATACCTTTGTTCGCAACCTCCCAAGAGACTTCAAAGGTAAAATAGTGCGGCTCCTGGTCGCCGACTCCTTCCCGAGGCTGCTCCATGATGTCTGAAGACTGACTCACTCTCCTCATCATCGTTCCACTCTGACAACGCCGACATTACTCACGCGTAAATCAGCTGACCCGTGGCAATGCAGGACACGTCATGGCATGTCACACGCCGTCACGCAACGCTACTCATAGCCTACGCGCATACGCGTTATACGGTGGTTGACCACGAGTCTACCACGGTTCGGGTAAGATAAAGAAAACACACACACACATACACACACACACACACACACACACATGAACGCACGCTGGGCAAAAATGTTCAGAGAGGCCAATTGCGGAGCTAGTCTGCTAGCTAAGTTGGATTGCCTTTTATTTGTTTCATTCGAAATCCGCCAATTTTGCGAGTCAACATGTGCTTTTCACGCAGTCAAGGTATCAGTCTGCGGAGCATAACAGTCTCGCACGTGCAAACTCCATTCTTAGTCGCGTGCACCACGTGCAATATCACCGAAAGTCCAGAACTCACGCGTGCATGGCAAAGATGCTGAGCTATACTAGTATACTGTGCGCCGCTGAGCGCTAACCTTAAAAAGAAGCTACATTGTAAAAGAAAAGCAATGTTATAGTAAGGATAATTTTCCATAATAAAAGCAAGCATTGTTAAATTTCCCTTTTTATTTCTTTTAATATATTCATTTCATCTTTGCGTTATTTTACAGGGCCCATATTGATATCAGTTTTATAACTGAAGTGGTTACCCTGTATGAATATTTTCAATTTTATTATTATTATTATTACTATTACTATTACTATTACTAT